AACCTCAATTTTTAACTTTCAAATTCTGTGTTTTAAGTTCTAAGTGTTTCGAAATATATATAAAATTTTTTTCCTTTTTTTGTTATAAATCATGAGTTTTCTTATTTTAGATAACAGTAAAAATTTTAGTTCAATAGTATTTTAGTTCATAGTATTGACAGTATTCCAAAGTAATACATGGAAATAGATTGGTAACTTAATTGGTAACTAAAATCTGTAGACTATCAATTTAACTATGAATAACAAAGAATAAATAAATATGTATGAGGATTATTGACTATTTATAACATTTCCTACGGTCTATATTTTACAATTCTTACAGGTCTTTGGTGATATTTCGAATAGTGACGTAATTGGCGTGTTATGACACTAGAGGTCGTCGAACTCGGTGCATCACTTTCCACCTGCACGTTGCTTAACCAAACATTAGAAAATCGGGCTTATGCGAATTATTTCCCGATAATCCGTATTACTACCCTATTTAAAACGTTAACCAGGCAAAACCCTAAGAAAGAAGTCTATTATCTCATTTTTATTGATATTAGAATTAAACAAATTAAACAAATAACGCACAGAAACGAAAATATTTTCTCTGTCGATAAAAGAATTTAAGCAATTTACTTTTTGAAACCAAATGAAACGAATTTCGATACTTTCGATAGACAATCTCGTAAAAGTATTGAAAGGAAGATAAAAAAAAATATAAACTATGTTTTGAATGTTCTGCGACTTGTAGATATCGTTCTGAGGTTTTAGATTCTGTAAGTGATAAAACGTAGCGAAACAAAACAACTTTTCGAGTAGGAAATTGTGATAACTTCAGGAAATATAATCGAGCCTCACGAACGTTAAAAAATATCATGTTAAGTAACTCTAATTGCAGGCGTAATTTATTGCTCAAGCAAACTCAAGGAAGTTATTATTGCGTCCAGAATGACTTTTTTTTTCTTGGGCGTCGAAATTTCTTAACCTTTGAAACCTTCCACCTATTGCAATAATTTGCAAATTATTTGGTACCAAACAATTTTTACATACTGGAATGAAAAAATAATTGCATACAGCAATTTACTGTTGCACTAAAATTGTTTATTTATATAACAACGTAAATTTAACTTTAGTATCGACATAACTGGACTGCGCATTTTTTTTGCAAATCAAAAGTTTTGTAAGAACATTTTTTGCAATTATATGGAATGTATCTTATTTAACAAATATATTGCATATACTAATATGACACGTACAAGGTCAACAGTCCTTCAATTCAATAATCATGGATTTAATATCGTAAGGAAATGAATTTTTGATATCACAGGACTTAATCTGAATTCCAATGAGTGTTTGTTACTTGACATTTACTTACCCCCCTGTGATTTGGCGCCAGGATAATTCTGCTTTCTCTCTAAATGCCGTTTGTCCTGAATTGACACAAATGTTCTCGCATCTAACGTTCACCGACCCAATCCTTGCACGGCATCTTCGCGTCGGTCGCGCGAACGTTAAAGCGTCGGATAAACACGCAATAATTCGTTCCTGCCGAATTGCGCGTCCGCGATCGACTTTTATTTGAAGAAACACACATTACAACGCAGACAAAACTCGAACAACGACGTTCACTGATCGACACCGGTGTCATGAATGCAACTCGCTTTTGTTTACTCTCTCCGAGCGCCGTCAGCAGGTGGCGCGCGAAAGAGTGGGGATACTACAGATAATCGGTGTTCGAATCTGAATATCGAAATATTCAATTAAACCAGAATTTAAATTAAAACTTGAATCTAAATGTTTTACAGTATTGAAACTCTAATTTTAAGATTTCCAATTTCAATGACTATGAAAATTCAAATTACGTCAGAAACGTAATTCGATATATAAATTGATATATTCGATACATTTTGCTCAAGTATTGTAATGAAAGAAAAAATATCACACTCATTGTTTTTTGCTCATTGTTTTATTTATGCGAAGAAAATAGCATCTACTTGCAGGGTATAAGCATTTTTGACATGTATGGACCGTCGAGTTCGTATCCCATTTTTCGGTAATAGTTCCTAGTCCCGACACCTGGATCATATGTGTAATAATATTTATGTAGATGATACTATAGAATCATATGTGTAATGATACTTATAATGTTTATTGTTACAATTGTATTACTTAAGATCTGTACCTGATATAACAGCAATTTTGTGAGATCCATGCTCTTCCCTTGCTATTCGTTCAGCTTCTTCCATTAGTAACATTCCGAATCCTTGATGTTGAAATTTTGTAGGATCACGCGCGTTTATTGGAACGACACTACCATATACATGAAGTTCTCTTACTATTGAACATTTGTCTTTAAGTTCTGGTCTGTAAAATATATCTGATTAATATAATAGAGTTTCAATGTTTCAAATATATTCCTTAATAATTTCGACGATTTGATTTTACCTAAATGTATCGTTTGAACATTTTCTTAACCTCAACAAACCAACTAAAATATCTTGTGTGGGATCTTCGTAAGACAAAAATGTTTCCCACCCACCATTGGCAACGTAATCACGACGTATAAGTTCTACTTCATAAGGTTTTACTTTATGATGTATTTCTTGAATGCCAACTTCTCGAGTTCTAACATCGCGACAATCCATTCCTAAATCTTTCATTCTTGCCAGTGCCAATTCGCGTAAATTTCCATGCTCTACGCCCGAGCTGCGTATTTCAAAATTAAATTTAAATTAAATAGACATAAAATGAGGATGTGATATAAATAAGATTACCTGACTAAAGGCATAGGTATATCTCTTTGTACACGATACACACGAGTCCAAGGCGGTATTAGAGCCAAAATTCGAGCTATAAGATCTATTAAAACGCTCGGTGGATAGCTTTTGTATCTTCCAGTTTTCCATAATTCATATAAGCCTGTACCACGAATAACTAATGTTGGATAAATCTTCAGACCATCTACTCTGAAATCAGGGTTTTCAAAGAATTCCTAAAAATATGTATAATTCCTTTGAAGAATTATAAAAATGAATAAAAAATATATTATAGGAATAGAGTTACAACTCACAATGAATTGATTAATATCCCTTTCAATATCGACATTTGGTAAATCTGGCATCATATGCGCTATCACTTTAAAACCAGCATCTTTCGATAATTGAAAACTCTCGCATATTGCACGAACTGTGTGTCCTCTGTTTGTATCTCGTGCTATGTCTTCATATACAGATTGAACTCCAATCTCTAAACGAGTACACCTGTTATGTTTGTTTGAAACAAAAAAGATGAGTTTAAAGATAAAAAAATACTCATCCTTATAAATTATTATAATATATATACCCGTAACGTAACATATCGGAAAGATGTTTTTTAAGGCAATAATCGGGACGTGTTTCTATAGTGATACCAATACATTTTGTGCGACTTCGTTCAGAAAATTTGACTGCTTCATCAACATCATTGCTTACATGACCAGAGAGAGCATCGTGTAAGTTTCGAATAAAGTAATCTCTGTAATCCTCTGGCAGAGACATGAAAGTACCTCCCATAACAATAAATTCAATTTTATCTACACTATGTCCTAATTGTTTCAACTGCAATATTTTATGATTATAATTTAATATATTTTACGTGAAGTAATAAATAAGTTCCT